ATGCCGCAGCGCGTGCACCTCCTTGGTTGTTTCCATGATTGGTGTCTTGCTGGTATTTGGCTATCCAGGTTTGGTTGGATTGCACAGGCGACTCATCTGCAATTATAGGACGGGCCCTTAAAAAATATTCTAGGGCTGTTTTGATTGTGTTCGGATCTGGGAGTTCGGTGCAAATCTGCAGGTTCGCAGGTGCGCGCTACAGTTTTGAAAAATGCTTAGAAGGCTGATTTTCATTCCAGCCCATGCTCATGACCACCTGGGTAGGGTAGGGGGTTTGTGATTGTGTCATGATCAGAGTTATAATTATAACCCTGGGTTATTATATATCACTCGATCTACTATAGGGGAAGGGTGCCCTGTAGGTGTGAAACTCGCAAAATCCCGTGAAAGAAATTTACATGATGCTTTCTTGATAACCTTGGACTAGAAATATCCCTCTTTAAAACCACTTCCCAAAACCCTGGGCCCCAAGTTCAATCTTATGATTCGAAATGACATTCTATACATCCATATATAGGGTAATACTGGAATCAGGGAAACACCCCGAGATGTTATCACATTGACTTGTTTGTATGATACAACCTTTTAATAATTGATCCTTGTCCGCGGATCTAAGTGACTACATGGAGATCAATGAACGTCCCATGGAGGATGACATCAACAGCGTGTTCCTCGGCATCTTCTAACGTACAGTTTGATTCACCTGCGCTATATAGCCTCCCAGACATGTGCAACTGTTAACTGCTACCGTGCATGAAAGGATTGGATTTATTTCAGCAGTACGCTCTGTGCTGAAGATGAAATGTCTCAGCTTGGCCACGATCGGCTTGCCATGCAGTTCATTTGTGTTCATGAATGCAGCAACTTCACGCCGAACCAAAGCGAACCCATTTGGGCGAGAAGATCTTCCACATGTGGCATCTAGCAATAAGTTGCTCGGCTTAATTTCAGCATGAGTCTCGAAGTGTCCAATTTAGAATATTGCATAAACTCAGGATTGCAGCCCGCGTATGCCTGCTCGCGCTATTACTTACAGCTCGCCACTGCTTTTTCCTGATTGAGCAGCCGATGTCATCCAGACTTGGTTGGATCCCTTACGTACGACACATATTTCGTGTCCTGAAGAAGTTCCTTCCCGTTCACAAAGTGTTTTTGTGAGACCCTCAGAATGGAATGATCATAACTTCACATGTGGGTGTCCTGTGTACATGTACGTATGCTAGCTGAGTTGGATGGGGAATTTCGGCCACTTCACGTGCAAGGGATCCCATGCCTACGGCACAGCGTCATGAGCTCAGCAAATTCATGGACAATTTCGAATGCTTGCAGACACAGCCCCTTCTTCCCCCAGGATCCCCTTTTATAACCCAACACCTGCTGAGGGGCTTCATCCCGCGGCTTGCCCGCAAATTGCCGATGAGGAGGCGGCTTCGCCTGGGATTGTCATCAAAGGATGTGGTTAAAGTGGGTGTGAATAAAAATGGAAAGAAGACCGTGCGGCCTGACTGCATTTATGTTACATGCTGCTTGCCTTTCAAAGCGTGACAGTTCCTCATGATCATGATTGCATTTTGCTGCTAAGAACTGGTGGCCTCCGTCTGAAGGAAACCCAAGAATATCCACGCAAATTCTGCAATGCCATTATGAGGATGCACCTGAAGTACATGGATCCTTGGCTGCCTATGTATATTTATAATACTCGACCTATACAGGGGTGTATTACGTACAATGCATGTGTGCACCCGAATGTGCAGCTCAGGCAAACGATGGCAAGAAGATAGAGGAACGGCTTCACAGAGGACTTGCAGCTGCGAAAGCCAAGGCATTGCTAGCTGTGGTTGGGAAATACAGCTGCTTTAATACAAAAATCTGACCCCTCTAGGCAATCCATGCTAAATCCATGCTAATTTTGATTATAACTTTGGTCTCTGTCTGCCACCTCTCGCGTGGCAGCACGCTGAGCTGGAAGAGATCCGCCAGTTCCTGCTAGCTGAGCAAGCAGCTGGCCGCTACCGCCCCGTCATGACCCTTTAGATCGCGGCGCTTCCCTGATGCAAATTCATTTCGGCAGGTTTCTGTGTGAGAGACTCATGTTGCTACACGCAGGAGATCATGCCAGCTTGCACATGCATGTGGATAACTTCCCAATTTGCTGAAGAAGTGTGCACAGCCCTGCGTGAAATACGAGCACCCAAAGCCAGTCCTTTGCTGAAATTCTGCACTGGTACATGCGGCCTGTCCTTAGCGCATGCTTGCATGGTAGCAGGAATTCAGAGCTGAGAGCTGCGAAGTCAATGAAATCTCCTCTAAGTACCATTGGGAATTCTTCAAAAACTCAAGCAAATCTAATGGATTTATGTCAATTTCTCTGAAACTGCGAAACCGTGATGCTAGCGTGGTTTTGGCGTGACTCGGGCGTGACTCTGCACCTAGTTACATCTTCAGACCCCAAATCTGACCGTGACTCTACCGTGACTCCGGTGTGACTCCATGCTCCCCCCTGAAATGCTTCCTTGTTCGCCCACCCATTCCATACCAGCCCGAGAAAAAATCTAAAGCATTCAGGTCGTGCTATTGTTGCAATTATGTGCTCAAGGGGGGCAATGCTGGGACATGGTTGTGGAGTCTTCCATAGAATAGGTTCACACATTTCCAGGTTTACATTCGCACCTCCAGATACATAGAAACAATGCTAGCGGAAGATGGCAGTGGCAAGACGCCGCTACAGTTGGCTTTGGAGTCTGCAGCAGCTATGAGAGCGAAGGCTTTCCGAGGTGCTTTTGTTGCAATAGCATTACGCATGGTAGATCGCTTTGCAATTGAATTCTAGCAAGTAACCTACTCGATGAGAAATCCTGCCTAGGCACACTGTATGAAGACGAGTTACAGCCCTCGGAGAGCAGCAAGGAGCCAGCGCACATGTACACGAGTCCCGGTACCTCAGGTCATCGTAATAATTAATAGCTTTCAATATTACTAGGGTGATCCTATTATCACATACTTATTACTCCTTTATTGGATGGACTATACGTCACATGAAGGGTCAGGGGGACTTTGTAAGTCGGTATTAAATAATGTGGGTAGCTGGGGTTACTACGTGGCTTTCAGATATTCATAATCCCTGAGCCCCATTATAAATCCTCTAATAAATCCTAATTTTGCAGGATTCAGAGAAGCCAGGGCAGGATTCAGAGAAGCCAGGGCAGGATTCACAGAAGCCAGCAGGACAGGATTCACAGAAGCCAGCAGGGCAGGATTCACAGAAGCCAGCAGGGCAGGATTCACAGAAGCCAGGGCAGGATTCACAGGTTGCAGGACATGGTTCACTGGAGCCAGGGCAGACTTCAGAGATGCCACCGCCACCTAGGCCAATGAAGTGCGAACCAGAGCCCACTCCCAAGCGTGTGAAAACAGAGGCCACTCGGGCAAGCCCTGTTGCGAATCAGTCTACTGATAACCTGCCAGGTTCTCCTTATGCTCCCACTCTGCAGGATCATGAGTCTCAGCTCCAGCTCCCAGAGCAAGAGGCACCCCGTGCTGTGTCCACAGAGCGGACCCCGCCAAGACCTGGTAAGAATCCGCAGACCCCCCAGAAATCCACCGGAAAAAGAAGCCGGCAAGAAATTCCGAAAGCTTCAAAGGATGGTGCAGCTTGGCTCATAATTACGCTATCTTGTAAATGCTTTATTAAACCTTTACCAGCTTTGGACCCCAGCTCTCTACATAGTAGTATCATTCTATGATCAACTTTGAGGGCCTCTATGTTGATGTCCCCTGATCGTGCTTTCGAAGCTTCCCCCACTTCCATTTTACACCTATATAGCTATAGCTAATTATAATTAGATTCGAATATGATTTATAACTCTTGTCAGGTTGCTTCCCCGAAGCGGACTGATGCCGAAAAGGAACCTCGGCTTGCACTTGCTTGTATAAACCGGTGAGGTGTCCATGTTGGGCAAACCAAGGAAGGGTGTTTTAACGTTTTCGACTATGGCACACAGGGGTCCCACATATGCATGTGTCGTACAGTCTTATGAGGGATCTGGCTATAACTACACGTATATTTATATTATTATACCCCGGAAAAGGTGCCCCTGTAGTTCTGAAGATATTTATTTGGATACGGGTTCATCGTGTCAAATACATAGTTTCCATCTCAAAACCCAAGAACGAGTTAAAGGCCTCCAAACTTTCCAACAAACGAAATGATGTATAATTATTATATATATATAACTCTAATACCCCAAGAGAGGGAGCCCCTAATTCCTGGAAATTTCCATTATGCTAAATTGATGACCTCATTTTCTGCTTTGCATGTGCGTCTATATATGCGCATGCTACCTAGCTGTTGTCCCATCTAAACCGAACCTACTATGATCAAATCCCATGCCCTTATTAAAATTATATTGCCCAATCCTGGAACCTACCTTCTAATGCTAGACCCAATCCCGGAACCTATACCATCAAACCCAAATTACTTTAATGCGGGCGCACTGCAGATTTTTATCAAATTCTCAGACCCAGATGCAATCAAAACAGCCCCATTATAATATAATAGATATTCTTATATGAATCTAATTTCCCGTCGTTGCGAGGATGCCACATCAGCCACGCCAACGCCACCCACCTCGCAGCCAGCCTCGGTTGACCGCAAGGATTCGTGGTGGAGTGATGGATGGAGTGAAACAGGGTCTGACAGTTGGTGGTCCTCAAGCTATGGCAATGGGTGGGGCTACTGGTACGGGGAACATGCTAAGGGTACAGATGACCAATGGTCCTCCTGGAAATCCTGGGAGCCACAGGAAGCAGCCCCTTCTGCTAGTGACCCAGGTTTGGAAGTATGGCAGCGTGTCCAAGGACTCTTGCACAGAGGGCACACTGTTGACAGGCTGAGTGATGCCGAGCTGCAAGAGGTAGCCAAATCCATCGAGGACATGCGCAGCTCTCGTAGTTCGGCACCTGCAGGGGCGGCTGCTACTGATCACAAGTCCCGTGACAACATGAACGCTGCAACAGAGCAGCCAACGAAGGATGCTAAGGATGATGTTTCAGCAATGCTGTCTGACAACAAGCCCGACGAGCCAGAGACAAAGGACGAACGCAGAAAACGATTGCACCGCCGAAACATGCGGTACTACCGGAGTTTGTCGAGCAGCTCCCCCAGTTGTTATATTAGGATTTCTTGGGTATTGGTCTGACCATGCTACTTTCCGCCCATCATAATTCTAAGGTCCGAATTGTCCCAAGGAGATTGCTTCTTTGGCTGCCAAATGCAAGGGGAATTCCTCCCAGAGATCCTACTTGTTTGAGAACTGGCTGCTTTGCGACGGCAACTGGGCCAAGTCCTCTCTCCTGGCAAAGCTAAAATCCAGAAATCGCAACTCCCGACGAGGCCTCCGGAAATGGATGACAAGGGCTGAAATGCAGGAAAAATGGGGAGAAACAATCACCCAGTGCATCATCGAGGCGAAAGAGTCTGATGAAGAAAGAGCCAAGAGCGAGATCCGCAACCACCCCGAATGCCCCTCCAACAAGGCCGAAGTCAAACATGTACAGTTTATTATTTTGGTTTGATCATGAATGTATTTTTAAACCCCATATGTGATGAATACCAGTATAACAATGCCATATGTATATATGGCTACCCTCCCTGTACCAGGTGATGATCCAGTACTTGTGCCTCCATGATGATACGGAGGAGAGGTTGGACGAAGAGGAGCTTGAGAATGTCCTCGAAGTGTCCTTGGGTGACAGCTCGGAAGACTCGGGGTCAAGTAGCTCGCCGCATGATGCAAAGAAAAAGAAAAAGAAAGCTGGCACAAAGAAAGGCAAGTCACCAAAGAAAAAGCCTAAGGCAAAAGGAAAAGCGAAGGCTGCGCAGAAGAAGCCGAAGTCAACTGGCGAGGATGCTATGTGCATGCCTGGTGCTAGCAAGTACGTATACAATTGTACATGTTAATTATTCGGCTTCTCTGTACAGTTCTTGATATGTAGGAGCCCGCTGCAGGGGAGCAGCCGGACTTGGCAAAGAAAGCGAAAGAAATCAAGGGCAAGGCCAAAAAGGCAGGTTACGTTCAGTACATGTTGAAATTGCCCTATAAACCCTATAAACCCAATAACCTTAATTATATTAAAAGCCCATAATATATAAACTATTTTAATACATAAGCCTGCTAATATACCATTACCGCGAAAACCAATTATGATGCTCCATCACCAGGCCCTGGACAAGGGCACTGACAAGATCAAGCTGGCTTCGAATCTTCGCAAAGAGAAAAGCTCTGCGACAATGTGGGTTCCCCATTGAGAAATTCAGAATCCATAGCAGATGTAATCTTGTAAAGATAACCAATGGATGTTAAACGTTTTCATCAGGGGCGACCACTTGCTGACTGCCATCAAGAATGATGTGGAGGATCAGGCTGGGAGTGGGGTATACATTTTCATGTTGAAAGGGGCTGGAGGCTGGAGGGAGATAGAAAAATGTAGTCCTACACCCTTGGGAGTAACTACCCTACTTTTGTAGTTTGGTTTCAAAGCCCTAGTATAGACATATCACGCAATGCCCCAATAATCCCCGAAGCATGCATGTAGATCTGCCAGGCTTTGAATGTTGCCCAAGCCCGTGCTGATCTCCAGAAAGCATATGACGAGGATGATGTATCTTGGCTCATTTTCTTCGAAGCGCAGGTTTGGGATATATAGGCCTAGGGTTTCTTAGCTTGCAAGGGGTGTATATAGGTTGATTATTATTATGGGTTTGCCCCTATTAGTTTATAGTGTTTAGGGTTTAGGGTTTATAAGGGATCAGGGTTTATTAGGGTTTAGGGTTTATAAGTTATATAAGTGTAGCTAAGGTTGAGTCCATGGGCGACCTAACGGGCACCTTGATTACCACCTGTGACAAGTTCGATGCGATTTACAAGGACTTTCAGTCTCGGAGCAAGCCCAAGGATGACTCCAAGAAAGCCCGCAAGTCGAAGTGATCCATCCAAACAAGCTAGGTAGCTTCTGGGGCATCGTTTGATTCTAGCATCCTACACGATAGGAGATCTACCTAGCTAGATTTGTCGCTGTGATCATGATCACATCGGACTCCAAAGTCTGCATGCCTGGAGAGACCCAGGGCTGCATGTTATCTGAACGGTCTCCCACCTGCTTCTGATGACCTGCGTTTACCTGATTCAAATGCATAGCTAGTTGGGATTATTGTCATGATGTTTCCTGGGGACGTCCCGTATGGGTTTATAATGGATATACAGGGTTTATTAAAGGGTTTGAGGCAATTGGGACCCTAGCTTATATTAGATTATGAATAGATTGACGACCCCTGGAATGCATCGAGCGCGATATATGCCAGGGTAGGACATCTAGGAGTGCAGGTGCAGGTGGTGTACCATTCCCGAAGCAATTGTGATTGCTAGCAGCCTAGACAGCGCCGCACGTGCCCTGTCCAAAAAAAGAACGTTGGAAGCCCTGACTGCGCAGTGTCTACATGATTCTGCCATCCCTTGTGTTTTTTGCCAGGTTCGGATCTTGGTGACAAAGAAGATGGGCTTCTACAAAATATGATCGAGAAAATATCTGATGGTGAGCCTCGCTGTTATCATATTCCGTCCAGTTGCAGTGTACCGCTTTTTGATAGCCCTGTAATTTTACTTCCTCTACGCAATTCCTACAAGGCTGCTACAGTTGGAGCTGCCATGGTGGATGCACGTGCAAGCTTTGAGGCTGCTGGGCTAATTATTCACCAATACCCATAAAAACTAAAGCACCGAAACCTCATCAAAACCAACCAGGGTGTCCAGAGATTCCACAAACCACCGTTGGTTGATCTAGACGTCCACTCCTGAAGCAATTTCCCAAAATCCCAATCTGCCCTTACAAACTGGCCATGGTGAACCCCGTACTACATTCACAACCCTTATAACCCAAGAAACTAATCTACTCTCCAGGAAGCTCGCCATCGATTCCGAGGGCTAAAGATGAAGAAGCTGATGCGCTTCAGACCTGGGAACAGTGCGCGGGATTTCTTCCGGACTGTGAATCTCCCTTTAGATTGCTGGGTCAGAATTAGAGCAACTCGTGTTATTAGGATTTGGGGTTTGTCCAGGTATAGGTACAATAATTATATATATATATAGCGGGTTTATAATAAGAAGGGTTTTGAGCTTTTTATGGGTCTATATAGTGATGATATTTTTTTATTATGGGATAAGGGCTATAGGCTGCAACGTCTATGTAAGGAGCCAACCATGGTTCCAATTACAATTGTACAAGATGGCAAAGAAGTTCATACAACTGTTCCAGTATTGGACGTGCATGAGCTCCTAGACTACGTACACGCAGAATTGAAACTATGCTGCCCCATGGACAAGGCTGAAGAATACTGGAAACATCTGCGAGATCATGGCCAACCGCATGCGAAGTTCTTTCCGGGGACTGATGCGCACATACCCTTTTCTTTGTTCGGGGACGAATGCTGTCTGGGTGATCCGAAAGACAAGGTGACTGGCATCTTCTTGTCACTTACTTTATTCAAGCCGAAGAATGTTCGCCTAGGTCAGTTCTTGCTTTTTTTCTACGCAAGACCAGCTCATGATAGAGAGGGAACTCAAGACATTGACCCCAATTTTGGAACACATCGTATGGAGCTGCAACCTAGCTTTTGAGGGGCGCTTCCCTAATTGCAGCAGCAGTGGCTCACGTCTTTCCGTCACGAAAATGAAGAAGGCAAACCAGCTGCTGGCAGGCGGCCACAAGTTCGCCTGCTGCGAACTGAAGGGAGATTGGAAATGGCATGAGAGGACGCTAAGGTTGCAGGACACACCTGTTTCAAAGAGATGTTGCTTCCTATGCGATGCCACTGCTGACGATGGGCCAACAAGATATTATGATGTTGGGGACGATGCCGGCTGGATAGCTACTGAAGCGACTACAGCAGGTTTCATCGCGAACAAGGTGAGGCCAGGTCGCCTAAGTCACTTGGATCCATGGATTGGGGTTCGGGAACTCATGCTAGCTATACTATAGCGGGCTTTTGTTTCTAAACTACTGGAGTTATGTCCCATTCATTCAAGCCAAACTGCATATATAGTGATTATGAGGCCCATTCCTGTACCTCCGTGGATTCCACATCTCAATGGTCAAATTCTGTGCGATGCACGTGGCAAACTTGGGGCTAGCCCATACGGCCAACGGTGGGGCAATGAGACTCAACTGCATGTAGCTCGAATCTTTTGAAGTAGACAGTGAGCACATATACAGCCATGTTCTTTTTTTCATGACCCTGCTAAGGGAGGCCTTGCTAGCAGCTGGAGCATTTGGGGATCCGACAGCTATGACACGAAAGGAACTCTTGGAAAATGCATACCTGCAATTTAAAGACTGGCGGCGGGAGAACCGAATCCCATGCAGTCAGCGGCGGTTCACTGAGAAGGCTCTGGTGAAGCAATGCCATGGTTTTTACCTTACAACCAAGGCCTATAATGCCAGAGTTGTGGCCCAGTGGCTGGCATATGTCTTGAGTGTGCAATCTGAGATGGCACGGGACGTTTCTGACTCCAAGCTGCCTGTACATGCTCTGGCTTTGCTTCTGGGACTTTTCTAGAAATTCATTTCATAATATCCCGTTATAAAAGATGCTAAGCAGGATCGTGGGCCCCATGCTATACGTCGGCTTCTAGTGTTATAGTCTATCCCATGCAAACCAAATGCAAGAGTAAACTCCTGTAATTGCCCTATAGACATATAATCCCCTGTCGAATCCGCTCTAGCTATATCATAGCCCCTAATAAGGAGTACTAGCCCTAGCTGTATAAGACAATCATGAATCCCCTAATAAGGAATGCCCTGAGCAAGTGGTTTTGCCTCAGCGAAGCAGCTGGCAGGTTTCTGCCCGCATGGCAGCAGTTAAATCAGCTTGTTTATAATTTAGGGTTTATCCCTGAGGGTATAGGATTTATTATAGGGTTTATAATTTATAAGATTTAGTTAGGGCTCATTAGGGTTAATTAGGGTTTATAATAAGGGTTAATAGGGATTATGAGGGTTGTTTGTCTCTGGAGTGGCTACTTCCTGTAATTAAGGAAGCCGGAAGAGGCCAAGACTATCTATGATGCTGGCATGGCTTTTCTTGGCTACCATCGGAAGCTGTCTCAAATTTCTTGCAGGTGCTTGGACTTGATTTTGCAACCTCGTATCCACATGCAGTCCATGCACATATTCAGCCTCGTGTCAAAACCTTGAGCTCATATGAGGCTCGGAGTGGTTTCATGGATCCTGAAGCCCAAGTTCCATGTCCCTTAGCTGAAAAGCTGCTTGTGTGGACCTGGTATAGCCTTGCTTGATGAAGCTGCCTGATCATGAAAGGCTATGGCCCACCTGCTCCGACAAACCCGGGACTGGTGTTTCTAGGTTGCACCAACTTGTGTCCAAACACGGTACCGGATACTTGTACAACATGTTAACAAAGTCAAACTTGAGGCTACAACAGCCGCTATACGCACAACTTCGCTGGAGAGGATAGCATGGGGTGGCTGAAAAGTTGTCACCTCAGTCATTGATCATCATGCTGGATTGCGCAGCATCCTTATGTGGAATTCTCGATCTTCAACATACATATAACTTGCATCTCAGGAGTGTGCAAAAAGGCGCCAAGAGGCCATGGTCCGTTTGCACCATGGGTTCTGCGTATGGGGCAGCTGAAACTTCTTGCTGCGAAGAAGCGACTTCGCAAGACTCTTGGAGTTCAAATTAGAGCAGTTGTGAGGGTCTTTGGGCTGCTATGGTGCCAACAATTATATCTAAGGATGGATCTGAAGAAAGCCTGGAACCGCTGATTTGCCTGCTCGCAAGATGGAAAATGATGGGTTCTCTTTGTCTTGTGAAAAACATCCCATGACAGAACCGGCGGAGTAAACTTGCTGGTTGTGAACCGGCGCATTTACCATACATGTTGGACTTGTAGGGTAAACCCTCAACTCCAAAAACCTCTAAACTCCAAACCCTAAATCCGCAACATATACCTTGTAACCCTGTACCAAACCCTAAATCCGAAACATATACCTTATAACCCTGTACCCTAAAACCATCTAGACCCTAAACTCCTAAACTCAAAACTCTACAGCCTAACCGTAAGGGTCCAAGTACCTAATAATCATATACCTACCCAAAACCTGTACTACAATTACTATTACCTAAAGCCCCAGTATCAAATTATTGGGTACTTGGACCCCTAAACCCTANNCTAAACCCTAAACCCTATCCAAGGCCGCGAGTGCAGCGATCGCTGCAGGTTCTCCACCCGAGCAGGTTGCTTTTCAAGCCGGGCAGGCGGGTTTTGGATTGTCCCAGTGGATACGGGTCCCTCTTAAGTAGATAGAATA